TTTATTTTTTGGTTTTCTAAATAGTAATCTTGTTGAATTGAATTGTGGGATCGAGATAGTATCATTACTGCGCATTTTTTAGCATTTAACTTTATACATTACTTATTACTTATACACCAGCTGTTCAATTGCGCAATGTCTTGTTGTAACGATAATCTATCATCATCACAATTTATAGTTTTATAGATTTTGAGGTCATCTGCGTATAAAAGGTAATCAGAATTGAAGTCAGTGCCTATGTCATTAATAAAAATATTGAATAATATCCCAAGTGTGATCCTTGCAGTACACAAAATTATAAATATATAATTTATAATTTATCATTATATAAATGTGTATAATGGTTGACACTAATAAATGTGTGCATCACGAGTGTTACCATATCTTATATATAAAAATGAATAGCAAAATTTGTTGGTAAGCGCATAACTCAACAACGCCTGAACCAATTTGCCCAATTCTTTTTTTAAAATGTTCGTTAAAGTCTAAGGATGGTTCTTTGCGAGAAAAAAATCGAATAATTGCAGGGAAAACTCTTAAAACTGCCCTTTTCTTTTCTCGTACAAACGTTTTCTAACTAAAATGTAGAATTAATTTGAGCTATATTGCTATTATATAAAGATCATATTAAATTACAAGCACTCACTGTATACTCCTTCTAAATGATTATTCGGATCTTGATAAATCTTTCTGAAGTTTGTTAAAGAAATTTTCTAATGTATGTGATTATAAAGTACTGGGATGTATGTGCAATATTGTAGAAATAAATGGAAAAAATTGTGAACAACGATATGTCATTGTTTGCATTGAAAACAAGTGAAAACTATCATTTGCCAAAAATTTCAATTTACTTATGAACCTAGACAATATTAGAATATGTTTAATAAATTTATGATTATGAATAAGAAAAATGAAATGTCTACATTATTATTGCCAAAAAGCAGCTGAGATGTGCCAGAAATTAAAATAATATAAAATACAGTATATGTATGGCAGATTGAATGATACACATGAACAGGATATGACAAATATAATTCACTTAAAATATGAAATTAAGTATTAATCAGGGCCAGTTCTACCTTTAATGCGATCCATGCAAAAAATACGAACGCACGCCTTAGGGCGCCAACACAAGATTCGGATATTAAATTTTCAATATAGTTTTTTTTTCAATTTATAATTTCTTTGCATCTTTTACTAATTTTTCTACAATCTTTTTAAAATTCGTAAAAATTTCACTTTATAACAACAAATGGGAAAGTGAAGATGAATACATACTATTCGGCCCTCACGATATCGATTACGAGAAGTTTAAGATGCAATTTTGGATATCTTAAATAATAAAAAATTAAATTAATTTAATCCAGCATAAAGTACCAGTATGCTATGGTTATGGTTATGTTATACCGTTTAAAAGACTTCAATTTCCAATATAGTGTGGGAATTGAGACTCATCATTTTATTAAAAGCAGTTCTACATTTAACATCGCTCATATTATAAAAGTATATGCATATTGGCGTAAAGAGTAATTTAAAAAAATATATTATTTTTAGGTAAATGGTAAATATTAGTATATTGTATTAAAAAATTGTAGGCATGGGTACAGGACAACGTCTGTTGGGTCATCTAGTTACTAATAAATATATTCAAAATTGTTATTTGATGTATTTATTTTTACTTGAATGCCATCTTGTACAGTAGCAAATAAGTTTTACTTCAATCGCGTGTGAACCTTACGCGCACTCTTTTTATCTAATGCAGTCGTGTTTTGCGTTATTTTACTGAATCACAATACAAAAATAATTTGCTTATTCAAAAAATTATTTAGAAGTTTCATTGTGTCAGAAATTCATATGTTTGGCATTGGATACGGAATATTTACTCAAATCAATGGAGCGTTTTGGGTCTGAATATTTTTACTGTTCTCCAATTTGCTTGAAATTTTCGAATTAGGTTCATCTTACTCTCCTTTGCCACTTCCCGGGAGAGTGACATTTCTTCTCAGTGGTATAATTTTACTTTTTTCAAAATAACGTCAGATATCGATAAAAAAACTAATTAAAAGAGAAAAATGTTTAATAATGCTTTTCAAAAAAGCAAATATTTTTCAAGTTACTGGCTACTGAAAATTCTTTCCGTTTTTGCGTTTTTCGCCGTTTGTTGCTAATATCTTTAAAAATATACCTTTTAACGAAAATAATGTAATGAACAAAATTATATCAATTGAAATTTTAACTAGTGGGGTGGGTGGCATCGTGCCTTAAGGTAAAGTGCTGGAACTTCCCGTACCGTAACGAAATGTTCGAAGAATATTGAATGTTTTCAAATAGATTATTATAAATATTGTAACATTGTCTAACATTTATAAGAATTATATCAACTGAATTGCAGAGTTGAAATTATTTGTTTAAAGTATATTAGAACTATTGTCAGAATTAAAAATAAAATCTGAATTATTTTCGATATACAAAAAATTAAAAAAAAAAAAAAAAAAATGGGACAAAATTTTTTTTTTCCAAAATCAATTATTTTGTTAAGACAAGCAGAAAGTTCTTTGAATCAATTGAATCGGACGCTTAGTTCTCTCAAAAACTGCCATTTTTTGTACATTTAGCTCTGTATCTCCGAAATGGCTGGGCCTGCCTTTGCGAAAAACTAATAACCCCTTCTCCCAATCATTACTAATTGAATGTTTTTTAGATCATTCAAATCGGATGCTCCGTTCTCTCAAAAACTCGATTTCTATTTTCTGCACTCTTTGCTCCTTATCTCCGTAACTGCTGGACCTGCCTTTGCCAAAAACTAATCAGCATATCTCCTAATCAATAGGAATCGAATGTTTTTTAAACCATTCAAATCGGTTGATCCGTACGCCCGAAAACGTGGGCGAAAATTTGTATCCATACATACATACACACACACATCCATTTTTTCTGAAGTATGCCAAAACGTTCAGAAACCTTCAAAACGTCGAGAAATGTAAAAATTTTCAATTCCGATTTTCGGCCCATTACAATAACTTACCCTACGGGAAGTTAATAAATCGGTGTTTTATAAAGTGTTCTAGAAACAATGTTAGGCTAGATATAAAAATGGGGTTTTATAGTGCTCAAAATAAGCTTTAAAATGAGTGCTTCTGCGTGTAAAGACTCATACAATGTTGTAAATTTATGATAGAGAAAGTTGTAGCTCATTTAATTACCTTTAAAATAGTATATTGCAAGTTCTGATAAAATCAGTATTAAAAGAGTTATAATCCAATTAATGCGGAGGGTGGTGACGGAGTGCAGATTGATTTCACTTCTAAACTTAAGATTAAGATTAGCCTATTTCAAAATATCAAGCAAATTGGAGCACAGTAAAAAAACACTCTTTTTTCTTCTCCATTTACTGCAATAATTTTGTTGATCGTAGGTTGAATAGAGCACACGTAAACAGAATTTGACAAATTAATTCACTTCAAATATGAACTTAAGTAATAATGTATATTGAATTATTAGTCAGGAAAATATAATTTAGATATAAAAATTACGAAAAGCCAGTTAAAGCATAGTACGAAATTATAAAAATTACAGACAACATTATTGAAACCGGAATGCTATATATTATTTCTTTCTGAATTTGTTATACCCTTTAAAAGACTTGAGTTTTCAACCCGTGTATTTTATGCTATGACCATAAATACCAAAGGCAGACGATGATTTTTTGTGCAATAAATTTGAAAATCAATGTTTTAGTCGTGAATAAACAAAAAATTATTAATTTATACATCCACATCTACAGGTATGATTAAAAATATTGTATAACCTTTGGCATCAAAATAAATTGAGCTATTAGAAATAAATTGCAGTGTATAATTTTTGGAATACAATTTTATTGAACATATTTTAATATTTGTTAAAGTGTTAACTATGGGAATTGAGAATCATCATTTTATTCGAAGCAGTGATACATTTAACATCACTCATATATTGGTATAAATAGTAATTCGAAAAACAATAATTATTATTTTTACTGAACGGTAAATATTAGCGTAGAATATTAAAAAACGTAGATGTGGGTACAGGACAACGTCTGTCGGGTCATCTAGTATATATATATATGGTCAGAATATATTCTGACGGTTTAACAGATTCAATGCACGATGCCTTTGCGCCGGGTATATCGTTTTGCATTTCTCAGAATATTGCAGCCTCCGGCCCATATCCTTCATGCCAGGGCTCTTTTTACTAAATCAATGTTTTAGTCGTGAATAAACAAAAAAATCATTCATTTATACATCCACATCTACAGGTATGACTAAAAATATTGAATAAACTTTGTCATTAAAATAAATAGAGCTATTGGAAATATTTTGTTATATAAATTGCAGTGTATAGTTTTCAATATACAATTTTATTGAACATATTTTAATATTTGTTAAAGGGATAATTGAAGTGTTAACTATGGGAATAGAGAATCATCATTTTATTTGAAGCAGTTCTACATTTAAAATCACTCAACATATGGTGTAAATAGTAATTCGAAAAACAATATTTATTATTTTTAACTGAACGGTAAATATTAGTATAGGATATTAAAAAAAATATAAATTGCAGTGTATAGTTTTTAATATACAATTTTATTGAACATATTTTAATATTTGTTAAAGGGATAATTAAAGTGTTAACTGTGGGAATTGAAAATCATCATTTTATTTGAAGCAGTTCTACATTTAACATCACTCAATATTTGGTGTAAATAGTAATTCGAAAAACAATAATTATTATTTTTAACTGAACCGTAAATATTAGTATAGGGTATTAAAAAAAATGTGGATGTGGCTGCAGGACAACGTCTGCCGGGTCATCTAGTGTATATATATATATATATATATATATATATATATATAATGCATATATTTATATATAAAACTATATAAAAAATTATGTACAATTTAATGGATAGATGATCCTGAGAATCTTAATATAAGAAACAGTAATTAACAATTATTTCCTACCTTTAAAGCACTGCCCATGGAGAAAAAACACTCTTCTTTTCCAACTGTGACAACTTGTTCAAGGATTGGTTTTCTCACAGTCAATTTAGTTTTTTTCTCAGATAATGTTTCTGATAATAATGTGTCAGTTAACAATGTTGATGAATCACTAATTTCTTCTATCTGCATCTGTAACAAGCAAATTTTTAACTCAAACTTACGAATTTTATCATATTTTATAAATAAATAAATATATATATATATATATATATATATATATATATATATAAACCCCAAATATTATGTTTTGCTGAATACTGGTTAAATAAGTCGGATATTGAATTAATTAAAATTAAAGGTTATAATTTATCATCTCATTTCTGTCGAACTCAATATGGCCACGGAGGTGTGTGCATTTTTGTAAGTGATTTCATTCATTCTATACCCGTTTATACTAATACTCTTCAAGTAGAAAAACTTTTTGAATATTGTGCTGTTGAAATTAATCTCTCAAATGACGTCGTGTGTCTTATATGCGTTTATCGATCACCTGACCAGAATGTTGATATGTTCATCTCGCTGAAGTACGAATTGATTCATAACCTTTTTGATAAATATTCCAAAATCATTGTTTGCGGCGATTTTAATATACACTTTGATAAGCAATCGAAGACAATCCATTGAATTCAATTTGAATATGCAGTCTTTTGGTTTAACTCGTACTATACATGAACCTACTCGTTTTTCGCATCAATCTTCTTCTTGCATTGATAATTTCTTCAAAAATTTAAAAGACTTTGATTCGCATGTTATAAATAACACTCTTTCAGACCATCGAGGCATAATATTAAATTTTTGTAATTTTTCAACTTCTAAATCTACCTTTATCTTACACAAACGTTATTTTGATGAATCAAATAAGTTGATTTTCAAATGTCTTTTGGAAAAGGAATCATGGACCTTGCTTAACAAGTCCAAAGACTCAAATACAATGTTCGACAATTTTATTTCTACATTTTTATTCAACTTCAATCAAGCTTTTCCTCTCATTAAGAAAACCGTTTGCCCAAAAAATATTACTTCAACTCCTTGGCTAACTAAAGGGTTGAGGATTTCACTTAAGAGATTAGCATTCCTTGAGAGATTATCAGTACATAATGATAACATGGGTTTTATAATTTATTTTTCAAAATATAGGGCAACTTTAAATGATCGAATCAATTTAGCAAAGATCAAATTCAACGAAAACTTGATTTTTAATTCAGCAAACAAACAGAAAACAATTTGGTACTTAATTAACTTGGAAATCAACACGAAAACTAAATCTTCACAGATTGATTGTCTTACAATTAACGGCGACAAAATTATTGATAAGGTAGTCATATCTAATAAATTTAATCATTTTTTTGTCATCGAAGCGTCTAAATTAACAAGCGCAATCAACTCGATCACCACTAGTTCGACTAAATCTTTATCCGCGCAAAATAATTCTACATTCGTTCTTTATCCTTTTTATCGATAAAAGTTACTAGTTCAGCGGGTCCGGATCAGATACTTAGTCTTATTCTTAAAGAATTCTATCCCTTTTTCATAGATAAATTTATGTTATGTTTAAATAAATGCTTCGATGAAAGAATATTTCCATCCCACCTCAAGCATTCAAAGATTTTTCCACTTCATAAGAAAAATAATAAAGATGATATAAATAATTACCGTCCCATTTCCCTCTTGAACTCTCTAGATAAAATAATTGAAAAAATCTTGCATACTAGATTAACGTCTTTTCTCAATAAATATAATATTTTGTTCAAGAATCAGCATGGTTTCCGAAAGAACCATTCTACTTCCCACTCAATTTATAATCTAGTTCATAACATCATTGACTCCTTCGAAGAAGCCACATATTGTACTGCGATATTATGCGATCTGTCCAAAGCTTTTGATAGTATTTCTCATCAAAGACTTCTTGACAAATTAGAAAATTGTGATATTCGCGGACGTTCGCTCAAACTATTTGAATCTTACCTGTCTAATCGAACACAAAGCGTTTACTTAAATATCGATCAGGAGCAAATATTTTCGGATAAATTGACAAATACATTGGGCGTGCCCCAAGGATCAATTTTAGGGCCTCTCTTATTTCTCATATATATTAATGATTTACCTCATTGTTCAAATCTTTGTGATTTTATTCTTTTTGCGGATGATACCAGCGTTATCATCAAGGCCAAATCTCTTAATGAATTACAACATAAATTAAGCGTGGTTGTGTCAGAAATAACGAAATGGTTTTGTGAAAATAATCTAGTCCTCAATAATGATAAGACCCAAATCATATCTTTTTGTACAAAAAATCGTTTATCCAATAATATTACTTCTTTAACCATCAATAATTCAGCATATAATTTTTCGCAAGTATCAAAGTTTCTTGGTATCCATATTAATAATAATTTAAAGTGGTCTGATCATATCTCTATCTCACTATCACCAACTTTATCTAGAACATGTTTCATGTTGCGCACCCTAAAACCCAAACTTGGTTTAAATTGCTTACTTTCAGTTTATTATAGCAACTTTTATTCTCACGTTTCATACGGCATTCAATTCTGGGGTTTTTCATCCGAACTAATTAAAATATTTAAGCTTCAGAAAAGAGCTATTCGAATAATTTTTTCCTTGCCCGGTAAAGCTTCTTGCAGACCCATATTTAAAAAACACAATATTCTAACTGTCCCATGCATTTTTCTGCTGGTAACATTACTTTCATCAAAAACAATTCGAAACTTTTTGATATGGCTTCGTCCTCCTCAAACTACAACACTAGACACAAACTAATTAAGGCGCGCACATATAAATTAGCCAGATCTTTCAATACAATCGACGGTTTAGGTATTCAGCTTATAAATAAACTTCCACTCAACATCCGAAATTTAGACAGCAAAAAATTTCATGCTTCCCTAGTTAAACTTTCTAAAGAATTAACTTTTTATGACAATACTGAATTTTCTCAATTAGATTTCAATAACTATTTTCTTGCATTCTCCTTATCCTTTATCTATGTAGTCTGACCATTTGATCGCCTGTACAACCATTTTTTTTTTCATTTTTTGATTGCTATTTCATTAATTTAAATTTTTTAAGGTTTTAAATGAGTATAACTTTCAACCTTGTGCAAGAATTTTGAACTTGACTGGTGGTCAAATAGACTTTAATATGATGAACTTGATGATGAACATTGTATTTAATGTTCGAATGCTTTTTTCAAGCTCTTTTTTTTCAGAAGCGAAATTTGTGATGATTATTATAAAATTAGTATCCTTTTATTATTAACTATGAATAAGCTTGACAAGAGCCTGAAATAATATCTATTATTATTGATTACGGCTTGCTTATGAATAAATAAATAAATATATATATATATATATATATATTTTTTTTTTTTTTTTTTTTTTGAAGTATGTGAGTTTGGTGTTGATATATATTTTGATGAGTTATTTAGAATCGGGCAGTAACACCAAGTAAAAAAAAAACTAAAGTAGTTTTGAAATACTTAATTTATCCATACGTTTGGGTCTTCATCGAGACCGTCATTCAGTGGAAAAACTAAAAGATTTTATATGATGTAGGAGGAAAATAATATAAAGTTATAGAACTTATATATAAATACTTACAGAAACTAATTAGACAAAATTACACTACACTATTACACTGTGATAAACCAAGCTATTAATAACTGGAACATTTAAACTAATTTTTTTTTTTTGACAATTTTTTGGTTACATTCTAGTGTGTACAGATTGACTAACGTCTAAAAACTGAATGAATTGTGTTTACAAATTTTGCGAAAGTGTAAAAAGACTGACAAACATATGTTTTTTGTAAAATAATAAAATAATAAAATACACGCTTCATTCAGATATGGTGGTGTTTTGGAGAGGGTCAAGGATTATTTTATAGTCATTGCAAAGCGAATTGTTGTCCAATCTTTTATTTATGGCCCTGTCGTTGTGTAAAAATATTAGGCATCCTTCGCTAAACCTTCTTTTATAAATTATTTTCGAAATGTAGGATCGTGGGATTGGAAAAATCAATGTTATGTTTGAGCTGATTAATGTGATCCGTTAATTGTGTTTTATTCTGGTTCTTATTTTTAGAGTTGTTTTTGTGTTGTGATGTCCTTTTGTGCAAGTTTTGACTGGTTTCACCTATGTAGACGCAATTACAATCTAGGCAATTAAGCTTATAAACTAGATTACTTAAGATTCTTGGGTTAAATTTTGATTTTAATTTTGTAAAAAGAGTTGTAAAAGTGTTTTCTGAAGTACGAACTACTCTAATATTATTTTTATTGAAAAGTTTTCTCCACGGTAAAGAAAGGTAAACTTATAGTTCCGACGTAGTTTTCAAGGTTTGGGTTATCGATAAAATTATTGTGACGGTTTTGAAGATATAGGATTCTATTTTTTGTTATGGATTGGATGAGGTGTTGCGGGTAGGAGTTTTTGGTTAGGATTTGTGAAATGAAAGGAGAAATTCTTTCTTAAAAATTTACTGTGTGATAATAATAATGCGTGTTCTATTAAGTTTATGATTGTGCCTATTTTGGTAGAGAGGGGGTGGTAAGAGTGGTAATTAAGATAACGGCCTGAGTATGTTGGTTTGTGATATCAATCAGTTATTATATTATTATTTTCGCGAAAGAGTTGGACATCTAAAAACTGATAGATTTATTATTTTCTGATTCAGAAGTGAATTGTAGGTGTTGCTTGTAGGCATTAAAAGAATTTATAAGAGTTGTTGTGTCACTGTTTGGGATGCATGTTATGATGTCATCAACATATCGGTAGTAAAGAATGTGTTTGTTGTAGGAATTTAAAATTGTGGATTCTATGTGTTGAGGGGCTATTTCAGCTTGGAAATAGAATTTACTATTGAACTCAAAATATGCGTTGGAAATTAAAAATTTTATTGTTTCTCGAAACCAGTATAAGGAAATTGTAGTGTGGAAGGATATATCATGCCATTTTTTAGTTATGGCTTCAAGGATAAGGTCTAAACCTAAAGGAATGTTTGTAAACAATGATACTACGTCTAAACTAATTAAAACGTTATCATTTGGAACTGTAATTTGTTTAAGTTTTCCGACAAACTCGAAAAATTTTTTTATGTGGAATGGGGATTGTTTGGTG